CATCTATGCAGCAGTGCAGGGCCACCAGTAACAGATCTAACAGTCAATTACAGAGTCTGCAGTGATACAGCAATGTACAATGTATTTCGTGGAGACTGCCAGGGTCTGGCAAACCTCTAAAGAAACCACTGCCAGGTGCAGGGGGAGGGGGTTTGGGTGGACTTGGAACAGTGGCAGAGACTCACCCACCAGACATGTGTCAGACCTCCTGCTAGAAAAGGGGACAGCTCCCTGATCCTTGGCTTCACTCACTCTGGCAGAGCTTATTTAGGGACAGGATCGCACCGGTGTGTGTTCACCACTCTCCTGTATAGCACCCTGCAGCTAACCCTATGCTCTGCACTATGTGCCAAGGTGGATGTCTGATACAAGATCCATTGCCCTAAGTGACATTACAGCCTGGCCCTGCGCATATTACCCAGTCATCTCTGAATCTGACTTTGTCCTGTACATTACAATGAAGAAACAACTTTGTGAATTGAGCCTAATGTCTGCTATGCCAACTTTGACTGCCCTAAGATCATAAATAGCACCCTACTCTAGCCACGATTACTTTTATCTTTACATTCAGTTCAAAAAATTATTTATTGTTCCAAGCCACTCAATTAGAAAGTTATCTACTGTAATAATTAATACCCTATAAACTCATTAGCATAGCAAAATGCATATTACACCTTGACTACATGTACACTACCTAATGGTGCAGTACATTTATAAATTCAGTGATGTATGAATACTAATATTACGCATCATTCTCTCTGTAAAATGACCCCGAACACATTTACAGCATACCATATAATGCAGTTTATACAGTCAACAACATTCAAATTAGCATTCATTGCTCGTAGAAATAACATTTTGCTAACATTCAAGAAACAGTGCAGCTGCTTCTACAACATATCAAAACATAACTAGAATTAGAAAGCTTTAATTTATGGATTAAGCTTGGCATATTAAGCATTCCTTGCAACGGTTTGCAGAGAAGCCTTTTTTTCAGCAACACTGAAATCTCAGTGTGTCACCCAGGGAGGAAAAAAGTTACTATGGAAACAGTGACAATGTGTTCATTATCTTCTCCTGCTGTGACTGAATGCAATGACGTCAACAAAGTTTGAAATCAACTGCTGACTTGGTCTTGGCCTAAGACATTGTTTGCTTGGAAGACAGGATGGCTTTCTGTGAAGCGTATTTTGTATATCCTATTCCAAACCTTCAACGGGTCCTAAACTCATACTGTGGTTATAGGAAATAACCGTAGTTTCAGGCAGACTAAATACAAGCAAATACTATTTTAGGATGACATATATCACTATCATTTTTTAACTAAGGAGCAGCACAAAACTCTGCTGATAGGACTCTTCCAATCCCTCGAGAAGGTAATGTAAATTTTGGTGCACTTGCAGAAAAGTTACATTACAGCAGTCTACTAGTAAAGTACACCCCAGCTGCAAAAAAAAAAAGTTGTGCAAAGGGTAGGAAAGCTAGCGTCCTGCCAGCATGCTGCAGAGTGACACTCTAGATCTCTGTGAAGATCTAGAAGTAGTGATCTCTTTGTAAAGGTCTGACTCGCCAGAGCTCTCCAATCAGTGGAGAGCATGAGCTTTGTTGATTGCAGAGCTATAGGCCTGAATCAGTAGGGGGCATGTTGGACCACTGCAATGTGACTGCTGATTCCCCCCCGGAGCAAGAGTCCCACTCTGCAGCTGCTGGCAGGACACAGGCTTCTCAACATAGGCTGTGACTACTTTAGATAATAAACAAATTATAAGACTTAAAACACCATGGGGCAGATTTTTAAATCTATGTAAAGTTCAAATATTTAATTAAACTTTATTGGCGAGCCCAACTTCTTCTACTCTGAAAATATTTATCTTAGGTCGCACTTGTTAATTTAACAATTTAAAGGAGAAGTATTGGAAGAGTAAAATGTACTCTCCCCAATACTTAGAGCTGGCGTGTGACACCAGCTGACACCAGTGTGACATAGATCGAGAACTGAGTGATCATGAACTACTGATTGCTCAGCTCTCGGTATTCACCCTGCACAGATAAGTAACTGTCAGTCACCACTCCCCGCAGGGTTTTCCCCCCTCCCCTCTCTATGTTCCTCCAGAGCTCATTGGAGGGACAGACAGGGGGTAGGCATAGCTGGCTCTGGCTCTAGAGAGGCAGAGCTAGCTGTCAATCAGGCAGTGGGGTGGATCCTACCAATATTGCCAGGATCCCATCTGCAGGGTGTTTCTGTGCTGTCAGCAAATAGTGGACTATATGCCCACTAAGTGCTGACTTTGGGTCACAGGAGCATATTAGTAAAAGTACTCCTTTGACCCAGGAGCAGACTAAAGCCAAAAAAAAAGGTTTGGCTTTAATTATCTTTTAACCACTATAATCATATCTACCATAAGACTTAGAATGAATGATTTAACATAAAACAGGTTGTGCGTGCAATAAACTTATGATGTTCAGAGGTAACATTGAGAAAACTCTAAGCAGCTGTGTCCATGCTTATGTTTTTGTATGCATGACAGTTAGATGGTCTAGTGTGGAATGGAAGAATGTCAACAACAAATGTAAACTACGCTTACTGCGTTTATATTTATCAAGAGGGAATCAATGTCATTCTAAATGATCTTACCAAACAGCAAATATGCTTCTGCCTTTGCATACAATAATGATGCCATTATTATGCCAGACCTAGCTGCCTGAAAAATTGAAGCATAGTATATTTTATATTTTACATAAAATTTTAGCTTTGCTGACACTGAGCTGAAATAGAACTACATAATATTTTTAAAGTTTCAGTATATTTAGCTAGAGCACTTGCTGACACTAAGAGGTTGATTTACTAAAGGAAAACAGGCTGTTCACTTTGCAAAGGAATGTTCTCTTAGCTGAGTGAATGGGGTGAAGCTCTGCTGACTCCCATCATCCAATTATGTGCAAGTAAAAATACTTTGGAAGTTGGATAGAATAAACTATGTGGATGGGGAGCAGGCAGTGTGCGGCTTTTCTTTGAACGGTATTGTCGGGGAGCGTGGATGGCTCCTAACCAGCACCTGCATGCACCCAGGCGATCAATGCTGGATGGAGCAGTGGGGTTTCTCTGTGTTCAAGCAAAAATACTCTTTGTGTTTTCTTCCTGGTATGTCATTGGATAATTTTTTCAAATTGAAAGTTCATTGCATTCATTAAGCTAAGGGGAATCTAAAATAGACTGTCTGTTTGCCTTCAGTAAATAAATCCCAATGTTTGGGGTACAGGGTTTATAAAGGGTTATCACACAATGGAAATTCTGGACCTTTCCTAATTGGCAACACTCTCTTACCAATACATTGCAGCAGTAATCCTGTCACTGCTAAGTTGTTGTTTTTGACAGGATGCCTAGTGTGACATGGCTGTAAGTAAGTAAGAATATTTACCGAGGCAGTGATAAGGATAAAATGGGGGGATTAGGAGGAAAGTTGGAGGCATGTACTAAAAAACATAAAAACAAAAAAAACATGTTATGCATGCAACTGTAAAGACAGCACTTCTTCACAATCTAAATGTTACACTCCATACGTACTGTTTAGTAGCCGGTAATCAATAAAAGGGTATGAGCCACGGCGTTCAGACAGGACCCCTGTAGGACCTCTCACTCGAGCATCTCCTGAAAGAGACAATGATTTTGAGTTATCTAGAACATGCTGGACTTACACAAATCTGAACATGATATCCCTCACTGACATAGGTTTAAATGTTTTCACAATCCACTTATAGAGAAATGATCACATGTTTAAAGATGCTATACCATTAGTGTCAAGGAATGATCCACTGACCAGGTTTATGTCTTAGGCCAGTTGCTACTGTACTCCCCAAATCATGCTTTGCCATGTCAGCATGCAGCTACAAGTCCACACCTTCTTGATTTATTTAATGTCCTGAGTAATAGTGGGGCAGCAAATCATTGGGCCTATTAGTTACAAGGACCCAATTCTGAAATGCGTCAGCAAATTTGTGTCATATTATATAGTATAATATGCTAATACTAACTGTATATAAAGTTTTTCTATGGGGCTTGCACAATGTGAGTCTGCAAATATATAAAGTGTGTGGGTAAAGGGTGACTGACATGCTGCAAGCATAATCCATTCTGTTGGCCCATGTTGTTATTTTCTCACATCTTAGATCTTTGATCTAAAATGGGTTTGGGGTATTTCTAGATAAGGATCTTTGTATGTATCCATTAACATTTGAATTATAGTCCTGCCTTCCCCACTTTCCCCATATCATTGTTCTCCTTGGAACATTATTTACCAGCACTCTTTATAGGAACTGTGGGAAAAACTGGTGATCACGACACAAAGAATAAAATATCTTTAAAAGAAATTTGCTTATAAATACTTGGATAGTGCACTTCTCAGTAGGACATATACAAAGTGTAAGCATGTACATGTGCCCTCCGCTATGTGCTTTCTTTGTATTAGTACAACCAAACTGAATATGTTTTTATTAAGTATTATAAATATGTAAGTTGATATCTAGCATTTTAAGTTAGTGAATCAGCATAGAATAATTTTAAATATTATCATACATCTTCAAAACCAACTCTACCAGGACAAGCTCTGGAAATCATTTAGGGTAACAATGGTCCAGCTTTGCCTACTGGTCACCAAAAGAAGCAATGCTTCATGCTGTGAGTTTATAGATATAGATAATCCCACCTGTTGTAAATAATCGACACCAGAAATCTTTCCATTACCTTTTTCCTTAGCGTAGTGCACTGTGTCCACTAAACCCTCTTTTTTCGTGAAATAGGTATTGGAATGTTCAAAAAAAATAAATCACTGAACATTATTATGACTCAAATGGCACAAAGTTCAACACATACTGTATATGTTTTCCAATTTACAGCATATCTAAACCCCAAAAATGTAATATATTTCAGCTTATTACTCCTCAAATGTGGTGGCTTTATTAGTTTTCTTTTTGTAGGCTTTTTTTTGTCTTTTGGGATTAAGGTTTTACATGAATGAATAAAAAATGACCATTGTAAGCCCCCTGTCAGTGTTATCAAAGCTTTCGATCTGCCACTTTTTCTGGATAGCTTGGTCTGTTAAAGAAGAACTCCAGGTATTTTAAAAATGAACCCTTGAAGTGAGGCTACCCTCACACTGCAAGGGTTAAGTGCTCATGTTCTCTGGGGGGCTCAAACAAAACAGTACCGTTGACATCATCACCATTGACTTGCATTGGATGTGAGGATACCGAGGGACATACCACAGCGGAGGGGGAGACAGGTGAGTGGTCACTGTTGCGGACTGAGGATCAGATGAGTGTATCTTTCTTTATTTTAGACCCTAGACCAAAATGAGCACTTCACTTTTGCAGTGTGGGGGAGCCCAAGTTTTAAAATGCCTGGAGTTCTGCTTTGAAGGAAGTTGAAAATAACAGACTTACTGGCCAGGTGAAAATAAAGGGGAAACAGCCTTTAAAAAAAACTAACGCCTGTCACCACATCTCAGCTGAAATAAATTAAATTTTTTGCTTTGCCTTTTTAGGAACCTGCTTTTTTAAAAATGACTTTTTCATGATGAAGAAGAAATTGTTACTCTTTTGCTTGTTACATTATCTTCTTATACAGAAACAGATGACTGATTTAACCATGTATGGGCAATACATTTTATTGCCCATGAGGTCAAATTGATTGATTTTGGAGGAAAGCTCTATAAGACAAAGAAAATAAGAAAATGCAAAGTGATGCATTATCTTTTTGGCTAATGTTAGTTAAAGTCTTACATAGATTTTTGGAAGCTAGTAGAGCAAAGTCATTTCTATAACACAGACAGACATAGCATTCTGGCTACATTACTTTTCTGGACCAAGTAAAAAGAGGTTTTGCTGGCTTAGTGTTCTATATGTATGATCAGATACCTCCTGGTTATTTCAGGGTCTATACAATTAGCATCTGTTATTTGCTGTAGAAAAGGCATCTGATTTTTATTCTATATTCTTTCTATGAAATGCTTAAAAATGACAAGTCATAGAACTTACATATACCTTTACATTGCAAGCTGTGTGGTTGCAGGCTTCAAATGGAAAAGCCTTAAAAGGAGCAGTAGACAGACAATGAGGGACTATCTACCAAGCTAGGACACACACAGATAAAAAAACACCTGACAGAATTTCTAACCCATGTGTTCGTAACCTTTTTTATAACAGGCACCCAACGGATTGCCTTATTTGCCCTCATACCTTCTTAGACAGACTTGATATAATTATCATTATAACCGGTCGTATTAAGTACCACCATGACTTCAAAGGATATCATTAGCTTGTTTTTACTTTACACCTAGGAACCTGAGATAGCCAGGAACAGATCAGCTAAAAGAAAGCCATAATAATCATCAGTTTTTTGTGGTAAAATTAGGTACCTCGGCTTATATTCGGGACGGCTTATACTCGAGTATATACGGTATATAAAACAGCAATTACAAATAAACAAGCTATCTAGTACTAGTGAGATTTTGCTGTTGTTTCTGTGCAATCAAAACATGGGTTTAGTTACAAACAATGTTACTCGTGTATCATCTGACACTTCAGGTTGATTTATTTACTTTGATTTTCAATAATGCAGAGAATCCTGTTTTTTTAAATTTCAGAGATCCATTACCATACCCCCATTATTTGGTTTCCATATCACTATGGGGCATAGATATCTCTAGTTAAAAACTCTCTTTCTAACATTTTCTCCACTCTATCCTAGATAAAAAAAAATATGTAGAGTTCCACCCAGCAATATATGGGAGGTGAATGCCGTTGAAACAGCATTCCCACCACTAGATGGAGCTGAAGAGCATAGGAATTTCCTACATTCCACAGCTCTGTAAAGTGTTGGGAATGCTGTGAGAATGGCATGCACCCAGCATAAGGCTGTGGAAAAAATGATAAAATCAGCTCCTAAGTGTTCAATAGTCATCACTACTTGCTATGTTGACTAAAATTCAATTACTTAATTTAACAGAAAAATCTGAATGAGTGTGTGTGGTATATATGTAGAATTAGTTTGTTGATCTCATAGCTTACGTAATTTTTAAAAATGAATTAAAGGAGAACTATGAGGTGAGCGCTTTTCACTCACCTCATAGTTCTAGCCGACCTGTGACAATGAGACTGTCACAGGTCGGCTCAGTAGATCGGGAGGTGAGCGAACACATACCGGCGTTCGCTCACCTCTCGATCCTGTTATGGCTCTCTGTCGTGACTGGGGAGGGGCTGGGTTCCCCCCTCCCCACTCCGATCTGCCAGCGCTGACTGGCGGAACGGACGGGGGAGGGGGCGGGTACAGCTGGCTCTGCCTCTAGGTAGGCAGAGCCAGCTGTCAGTCAAGCAGCTGGGCGGATCCAGACATAATTGCCGGGATCCGCTTCAGTTGCAGCGTCTCAGTATAGCTTGCGGTATACTGAGCCTAGGGTGACGGGAGGATGCTAGTTTGTGTCCTCCCATTACCCTAAGGAGAACTATGGGGAAAAGTCTTAACCCCATAGTTCTCCTTTAAACATTTTAATTCTAGCCTTGGAAAAAAAGAAAAGGTATTTGTTTTTGTGAAAGCAGTTGTTATATTGTTACATTTTACATAGCAGTATTATTTGTCCCATTTTTACTAAGGATAAAGGAAACACTGTACAGGTTCCACAAACACAGAGAACAGGAAACGACAAAACCGTATAGACAACAGACAGGATATGATGAACATTATTAATTAGCTTCCCTTTAGTTGCTTTTGTTAAGGACAAGCTCTCCTTATCTTTACTGTACTTTCTAATGATACATACATTCTGTAACACAGTGTGATACAGAGCTGCACTTTATCAAATACAATTTAGTAATAATATTACAAAGTCAAAAAAATAAAGATTTGTGGTTTATACCAGTATTGTTTAAATTTTTCTGGTTGCTATAGTTCTGGGGATATCTCCTAAAGGTGACATTTTATAGCTAGTGATATAAATAACCCGAAAACTGAATGGAAAACACAATTTAGGGTCCAACCCATTCTTTGCTTACCTGTGGTTTAGAATATATGAGATCTGGCTCACCAGTAAAAAAGCACTTGTATTAATTAAAAATAATTGTTGTATTACAGTTTAAATACTACCAAGCACTTTTAGCTGCTTATTATTTACCTTTCTCTTAATATTCTTTGCTATAGAACATGGGTACACAGTGGCAGAACTACTGCGAAAACATTTCACAAAGCATCTATTGGGCCTGAGTTTGACATTCAAATTCTACTTAACCATTTCAGTACCCATACCTGTACACAACCTGCAGACCAGTGCAATTTTGACATTTGTGCTACAGACCTGTTGTTTATTCAGCAATAACATTGTCATAACTTAAGATAAAAGAGTGATACACTGGCGTAGTGGTAAGCGCTTCTGCCTTGTAGCACTGGACTGGGATGGGTGTCTCTGGTTCAAATCTCAGCCAGGTCACTATCTGCAAGGAGTTTGCATGTTCTCCCTGTACTTGCTTGGGTTTCCTCTGGGTACTCCCACATTCCAAAGACATGCTGGAAGGTTAATTGGCTCCTGACTAAATTGCCCCATGTATGTATTCATGTGAGATAGGGACTTTAGATTGTAAGCTCCTCAGGGGCAGGGATTG